TTCCATGTGGTCGAATAACACAAACCCAATTGCTGCGAACGGCGACGAATCGACATTTCACGGTCTTCAGCAACACTCTCAGAAACAGACGCAATATTCTCTTCTGTACGCACTGTACGCATTCGTGTGGTTGGTTTAATGTCCAATAAAGTAAACTGAGTGCGAAACTTGGTCACAATCGCATTAATTGTTTGCTCACTTGGTCGATTATGTAGACCATAAATCGGACGTAAAGCGCGAAACACATTTCGAACCGAACACTGATTTTGGTAATAAAATTCAATGATTTGCAAGCGTTGCTCGTTAGTAAGTCTATTCATGATGAAATTTCAAAGCATACTGAGCATCTTTCTCTTTGACACCATGTCTGAAATCCCACGTGATCTGTCAAATACTAATGCATGAAAATCCTAACCTCAAAAAAATCACCCTTTAAAACACCATCTACTGTCGGCATCAACCACGGCTGTTTTTCAGTCACCGCATTAAGCTCACGAAAATCAACACACAGTCTGTCTTCTCCATTCTGTTTAGGTACCAAAACGACAGGAGATGCATACAAAGAATTTGATCTACGAATGATACCCAACTGCAATAATTCTTGGACTATTTCTTCAACAACGCGCTGTTTCGGTATAGGAATATTATATGGCTTCTTTGGTATGGGTTTCTGAGACATTAACTTGATGTCCATTTTAAATTGCTTTGACATCCCTAATTCGGGCAACTTTTCCCCAAAACAATTTGCATATTCATTTACTAAGTTAATAAGCCTCTCCGTATAAGCAGTTTCAAGTTCACTATCAGTATTTATTGCATATCCACTAATCGACATAACTTTGCAGGTGCTTCCTTCAATAACAACTTTTCCCTTTGAGAGTACATCGATTCCAATAAGTGCTTCATGTGCCATTACGGAATCATCTATACCGAAAAATTCAACATACCTTATGATTTCATCAACTTTTATACGCACGGTTAATTTCTCGTGGCAGATAATTTCACCGCCTGCGAAACCAATTAATTTCTCGTTGCACGCATTGGCACACAAACCGCACTTTATTGCAATCGACCGCTTGACTTAAGATCTGCTACTACCTGAATCTATAAGCGCTTTGCATTCGACCTTCTTAACACCCATAATAATTATTTGTTTGCACAACTCTTTGCACGCACTTCCAACCACGATTTTGTTTACTGACGTTTCGAGATCCACAATGTCTATGTTTTCTACACTATCTACGCAATCATCATTTGTTAATTGATTTACACGATCACTATGCTTTGAATCGAACCTTTTCTTCGGCTTGGCACAACTCTTCTTTGCAATTGTAGCAAATAGGCCCACCTAAATTTTTATTTGTATCAACTGAATCCTCAGATACCTGCTTGTAGGAATTTTTGTGAATAACATCACTGAACTTTACATTGTTCATGGGTATATTTGATAATGATTGTAAAAGATCGGCACATTTGGAGAACTTCATTGCACTCAATGTTTTACGCAAATTATCATCACTTAACCCGTTTAAAATATAACGTATTATTGAATTGTCATCGATGTTATCTCGGCGACCTATGGCTAACATCTTATAATAAAACTCTACCAACTTCTCACCTTTGCCTATTTTTGTGTTCATCATACGAATATGGGCATCTGCTGAATTCCTAACGTATGGGAAATCCGTCAGAAATGCTGCCACAAATTCATTCCATTCCCGAAATGCCGGCTGAGCGTCAGCCCACCGCTTAGCAACCCCTCTCAGCCTACTGAGAACAGCAAAAATTACAAACGTATCGTGCCATTGGTACATTGCTCTCAACTGTTCAACTCTCTCGACGAATTGCATTGATGAGTATGTGTTATCAATTGGATCGAACTCGGGCAAAATTATAGCTATTTCGCTTGGCGTATGTGTGAAGCTCCCTCTCGGTATATGTGTACCCCTCTCTTCGGCTCTAATATTCGTTGAATTAGGCAACAGCACTGATCGGTTACACTGCTCCATAGGTGATGTTTGGCTTGGTAAATATGGAAATGACGGAATCGATTGCTGTGAAGTCGGTGGAATATGTATGTACGACTGTGACGCAACTGGGAAAAACGAAGAAGATGACGGTCGTGGCGTAACCAATGCTGCTTGCTGAAAACTTGCCAAAGACGCTGACGTAAATGAGGGCAGTGATGAAATATACGACGTACCAACGGAAGCATTGCTGTCTGATGTCCCAGACTCTGGAACATTCGGTCCCATTGGTCGTAATATCTGCAATTGTGCAGTTAGCATTTCTACAGCACCACACAGCGCGCTAACCTGCATCTCAAGCTGTGACCTGACTCGGGCATCGTCCCTCGACGGTTCCTCAGGATCTTGTTGACTAGCGTCACTAGCCGGTGGTAAACCTGTACCCGTTGATAATGGCGTAAGCGAATTCATTATCGGCATTAACGATTCTGCATTTACGTCCTGAAGTCTGCTTATTAGTTCGGCTCTAGTTCCACTCGTTTTTAGTTTAAGTTTTTGTAAAACTGTTAATCGATTTAGGTCCATCCCACTTCTGAAAATCTATCGCTAGAGATCTTTTCTGATTGACTTCCTTTTATTCAATAATGATTTTTCATGTTAATTTCATTTAACAACCCATACTCTACATACTCAGACCCAATTGTGTAACATACAAAGTTAATTTCATACAAGTGTTGAATACAATGCTGTAGACTAAATACAAGATGATGACAAAATGGTTTAGTCATAGTTACCAAATCTTAGTTGAGGCAACCACGATTTGGTTTGAGAGCGGAACATATTCATGCTTGTGAGCCACCCCTAAAGAATGCTGAGCGCTCTCTGAGCACATGTGTGTTTCCCATACGAAGAGCGCCAGCTGAGCAATGCACACAGCCCCACTTATTGAATCGTTTGAATGTGCTAGTATGCCGACCATTGCATTGTGCGTGGAAATCATTGCTCCGCTACCGCTGTTCGTATATGCGTGCTCAGCGAAAAATTCGCCGTTCGTCGGCATTGTGGTTCAGCGGTAAGCTAGGTAGAGAAAGAAAAGTGTGTGTTATGACATGCACAGAATTGTTTGTCTCAGTTTCAGTTTTTCTATCACCGCGAGTTGTTTCGGTGAACGCATAGTTATTTAAAAATATAAAGTTTGATGCCAACCGGCGTTTTTCAGTGGATATATAATTACGGTGACCATAAATACATTTTGAAAATGCAGGACAATTTTTCAAAAAATTTACCTACATATAATTGCGTAGTATAAAGATAACAAAAATATACTACATATATACATTCCTCGTCATTTGAATAGCGCACCCCTTTTTTGATTTTCTACCATACAAAGTATGCTTGACAAAATTTTTATATTGAAGAAAATGCGCAGCACCGTCAACAAAAAAAAATTGTCGCCCCTATGTTTATTTTTTTTTTAATTTTCACAAATTTTTAAAATGGGATGTAGACGTAGAATATGCTATATTTTTATAAAAAGTTAATGAATATTAAACAAACAAAAGGAAAACTGTACCTACTAAGTATTTAAAGGATGCGCTATTCAAATTCCAATTTTAAACTTTAAACATAAATCACATTTTCTTCATTGGTATTCATCTTTTAGTAATGAATATTTACAAAATTATAATAAGACATATTACATATTACTTTACACGAAATATGAACCTCTGTAAAGCAAATTTTTTAGGTAAACTTTGGGTCGTTGAACACGAAAAAAATACCCATGGTTTCAAAGAAGTGTTTTCGAGATTTGTTCGAAAAACTTATTTTTAGTACTGTTGAGAATTCGCCCACACACCCTAATACTAATTAGCTTTGCGGTA